ACATACAAGTGCATGGTCGGTGTCCACACCTGTGCTCCAAATCGAGCGACAGTTCTGGACGCAGCCTGTCCATCGGTATCTTATTGCAATGTGATCGATTTGCGTCCATGGCTGCTTCGAGTCTGGTGGGCGCCAAGTCACCCTCCGGCGGGTGCTGTATCGGAAGTTAGTGCTCGCAAGAAATAAGCGAGCATCCTCACACAAATGAAGTAACCGCTCACTGTGATCATTACGGGAGCCTATACCATGTTGGCCGCCCAGCTGCAGCTCATCTGTGGATAATTTTCCAACTTGAGCATTCAGATCCCCAGCCAGCACTACAGTGTCCGAGCTTCTTCTGTGGCTAAGGAGCTTGTTCACTTGACGATAGAAGTCGTCTTTTACCGAGTCATCGCTACAGTTTGTCAGTGCATAGGCAGCGATAACGAATAGACACCTGTTGGTCCAACGCAACTTGGAAGTTTTGAACGTGCCAGCCAATCGGACCGCACACATGCGACTACTGATTGGAATCCAATCAACCAGAGTAGCTTCAGCCCGGGGGCTCAGGCCAATACCAACACCGGCTTGGCCGGTGCTCGAAGCTGCATCGTCACCGGATGGGCGCAATCAGAAAGTGCTGCTAATGTCACTTGAAGCGGATCGCAGAGCGAGTACAGAGCTCGAGTCTTGCAGGCGGGTCTCCGATAAGCAGCAGATATCGATCGAGTGGGTCTCTAATGTTCGGGCAAGTGCTGTCTGTTGACCGATCTGACAACAGTCCTCCGTTCATTTAACTACCAGCTTTGTCTAAACTACCCAATTTGCACGTATTTTTCTAAGCTCACTCTTCGGGCAGATTGGTAGTATTGTTGTAGGGTTTAATGGCTGATCCGTTGTAACGAGACTGGACCTTAACGTGGTGCGACGGTTTGCATGCCTGCTTAACCCATTGAGCTATATTGGCTGGTGCCTTGGGGCCCCTTGAGAGCTGCTCCTACCAGCTTGATCAGTGGTTATAAGTCAAACTCAATCTCCTGGTACTGCAGGTTGGGGTTTTGAAATGGTATGGCATTCATTTTTATGAAACTTAATCATTGCCACTTCCTCACTGCGTTACTGACAGGCTTTTGAGCCCAAGGCTTTAGTTGAGGACCTTAATCGTCCTCCTGTCTTGGTCTGGGCGCCCTAACATTATCTCAGCCCACATACAACCACGACTTTTTTCAAACATTAACTTCATATTGCATCAGCCGTCGCGCAGATTATCAAAGGACTTATCTGCTTCTTACAAATAATGAATAATAATAACAATAATAATAATGTGTCAGCTGCACGCCATAACGACGCTTCGCCGCCGTGCGACCACTACCAGTCGCACGCGGACTGAGTATACTGCGAGGACGCGGATTCGAACCCGCACCGCAAGATTACGAGCCAAGCTCGTTACCTCGGCTGCATACAGCGGAGCGGATAAGCGGAAACACGTTACTGCTGCCGCCTCCCTTCTTTCTTTTCCATCTGTTTTTCGCACTCCCATTCTGATCCCCATTGCTAATCTACCTTCTATAATTCCTTGCCTAATTGACAGCAACAGAAGCGCTACTGGAGTAGAACCATCTGCAGCCACCATCCCACAACACCCATCGGACGCCTATCGGCAAAAGTCCCTTATAAGGCCACGCTGTCCCGTTTTTGGCGACATTCAGCGTTCACACTTTAAGGCACAGGTCAGCAGGCTGCAATCGCACGCACCTTGGACACACTGGGCATTGATGTGTGTTGGGTGTCAGAAACTAGGATCAATGGCCCTAACGGGGTTATTGAATTAACTGCACCCGGCTTATCCTCTCGTTATTGGTTGCACGCATCCGGAGACGCCGATGCGGCACTCACGGGTCAAGCTGGTGTAGGTATCATTCTAAGCTCCAAGGCTGTGCCATCGTTGGTTGATTGGATTCCGGTGAACAGCAGTTTATGTGCAGCCCGTTTGACTACGTCAGCTAAGGTTGATTCACGAGGTAGTACAAAACGCTGTTTGTTTGTGATTTCCGCTTATGGTCCTAACGACTGCAGTTCAAATGCTGTCAAAGACACATTCTGTCACGAACTGAACGCACTACTACGCAGTGCTACTAGTTCAGATGTTCTAGTTCTTGCAGGGGATATGAACACACAAGTAGGGCTTCTGAGCTTTTCAGAAGCTCAGCTGGGTGGTAATTGTGGGCTTAACTCCGAACGGACTGACAATGGTGAGCGTCTGCTGCAACTGTGTGCGGAGCACCAGTTGTTTCTTACTAGCACTGCTTTTAGACACAGTGGGCGCCGAAGTGCCACTTGGCGTCCACCTGTAGCTGGCCAGCGATGAACCCACATTGACCACATAGCCATAAGTTACAGGTGGCGCGGTTCCATTCTGGATTGCCGCTTATACTGGAATACGTGCGTCGACTCTGATCATGCCTTACTACTCTGTCTTTTCCCCCTGACGTTTACAGGGAGGCGCACCAAGCCTCTCTTCCGATTGGCAACTGCGAAATTGTCTCAGCCCTCTGTCAGCCAAGCCTATCAAGAAGCACTGCATACCGAACTTCCGCTGTCTTATCCTAATGACACTGAACTTCAGTGGAATAGGATCTCGGTCGCCCTGCACGACACAGGAGCATCTGCTTGTGGCACTATCAATCTTCAATCCTAGAAGTCGGTGGACCTTCTGGAATCTAGAAGACAGCTCCCGGCTGGCTCTGATCACAGTGTGACCAGACGGGCTATTATGCGCAAACTAAAGCGGAGCCTACTTGCTGACAAGGAAGCCTGGTGTACCAGTAAGGTTCAAGAAATGGGGGAGGCAGGAGCAGTAGGCAATTACCGCAAGCTCTCCCAGCTAATTCGCACCACTGGTCCCAGAAAACCAGGCGTCAGTGAGACAACCAAAGATAGCGCGAGTGCACTGATACACAATAAGGAGCGCCGTTTGGCTCGTTGGGCAAAACACTTCCAAGGTCACTTCAGCTAGCCCCATACTCCTAAATTTCTTCCTACTCAAGTGATGCAGGATGAGCCATGGACGGTTAGTCTAGAGCCACCGTCGGAGACTGAGGTCCGAAACGCGATCACAGCCCTCAATCGTTTTTGTGCCGCTGGTCTGCATTTCCTCCCACCTGCACTATTTAAGGATGGTGGTGAGGTCCTCTGCAAAGCAGTGACCTCCTTATTCGAACCTATCTGGAAGGGAGAGAGTGTGCCAGCTAACTGGAGCGAATCGATTATAGTGGCAATATACTAGAAGGGCGGTCGCACAGACTGTGCTAGCCACAGGGGTATTAGCCTGACGCCAGTTGTGACAAAATTACTGGCCTCGATTCTTATTCGTCACCTCCCTGTGGAACGGGAATCTCGTATTAGGGAAGAGCAGGCCGGTTTCCGCCCAGGACGTGGCTGTATAGGCCAAATATTCATTTTGCGGTAGGTGCTAGAGCAGCGCCACGCATACCGCAGACCGACAATAGCTGTGTTCCTCGATTTCAAGAATGCGTTCCATTCAGTCGATCGATCGATTCTGTTCGATTTACTTGCGCGAAAAGGTGTTCCCACGTGCTCTATACTCGGACGCTACAGGCCGCGTCATGGTCTACGGTGACTTGTTGGATAGCTCTCTGACCACAAGTGTCGTTCCTCAGGATTGTCCGATTTCCCCGTTTTTGTTCAATTTCGTCATGGGCTCTATCAATTAGTATTCCTTTACGTAATCTCACTATGTAGGTGCTGTGGTCCTGCCTGTTGAAAGGTTAGTTGATCTTCATTATGCAGGCGATATTGTCTTGCTTCTCGACGGTGTTGTGGCGACACAATCAACCACGCATAGTCTGTCTAGAGTGGTCCCATTATCTGGTATGCGCTTCGCATCTTCAAAGTGCAATGTTGCTGCAGGACTACCAGCCACTTTATGTCCCCTTGACCCTTGCTAACAAGGGACTCGAGATGGTTGATCAATTCACTTACCTTGGCAGCTGCATCAGCAACGATTGGCGCATAGAAACTGATCTCAGCTCACGCATTGCAAAGGCCAGAACTGCCTTCTGGAACCTGCGGCATCTTTGGGGACAGAAGGAATTTCCCTCCGTCTGAAAGTCCATGTATACAAGTCCACAGTGAGGGCCGTCCGGCTCTATGGTAGTGAGACTTGTCCCCTTCGGTCTGAAGATCTGAGGCGCCTTCGAAGCATTGCTGATGTCGCATTGCACCAGCGTGTCCGCAACATTGATGTGCGTAGGCGAGTACTAGGTAGTGATACTCATGCTTGTTCCCTAGAACAACAGATAGCACTGAATAAGTTGCGTTGGCTTGGGCACGTACTACGTATGCCTGATCACCACTTACCTAAGAGGGCTTCGTTTAGTCTGCCAGGTGTAAGCTAGCGCAAGGCTCGAGGTGGACAGAAGTTGACTTGGCAGCGGGAAATAAAGTCACTGACGATCAAACTTGGTGCCGTTGGTCCGTTTCGCCTTCCAGGCTGGAGTCCACTTGACTCGCCTTGTGCTTGGCTCGGGAGTTTATAGGACATGCCTCGCAGTCGGCACCAGTGGCGCGTCTGTTGCTGTCTCCTAGTCGGATTGCTTTTGGTGTTTGCTGCTGAGTTATCTGCGGGGCAGTGAAAGCCGCAAGAAAGCAGTGTCGCTGATGTCACCTTACTTTGCACGATAGTCAGCTGTTTATGGCGGTATGTTGTCTACACAAGGTGTAGGCGCGTTTAACCTGAATGTTTGTTTGGGGCATTAAGGTTTTGTGCTTGGTCCCTTTTCTCTCCCTCTTATTATTCTTTATTCCATAGGTCATCGTAATTTCATGGCAGCGAAACATCAGTTTAAAATGCTGATGTACTGCTGCTGTTGTTGTTGTAAATGGTTGATGCTTGTAATACAATGTTTTTCCATCGCTTTGTAGTCCACTTCGTCGTTGCGCGCTCGATTCTAGGTACCATTGTGGTTCATCTAGTTAATCCTATTTTCTCCACTCTGCAGGTGAAGGCATGCAACCTTATGCGCCTATGTTCGTTCGGCCGCTGATAGAGATTATAAACCGTCAAAATACTCCCAAAACACTGCATGAAAATACAGGTAAAAGTCGACTTTATAGCACCCTTTCACACTCGACTCATTTTGGCCGAATTGCCATGATGCAGTTTACTTTGCAACTATTTTTGTGTGGACCCTTTTGAGCGACCCCTTGGTGTCAACCTCTTTCTTCAAGCGAAGCTTCGTACCGTTGCGAGTTAACATAGGCAATATTCATACAGGCTGTCTTTAGTTTTTTTATTATGGAACATCGGCGCCTGTTATTAAGTACCGGAATCTTACTATACATTTCTTCCTGCTTCTCATTTTTTCAATGTCATGGTCACTACATCAGTCTATGTCTGTCTCTTGTGTACAACGCGAAATTTCGTAGTTCACTTTTGTGTCCATTTCGGTACCAATCGCGGCATTTTCTCCTGCTTTTGTTCTGAACATTCACATCTTCACAATTTTAAACTGCGCATTTTGTTGCACGTCTGAAATTTTGGTCTGCATACAGCGAACTCTAACATCACAGCAGTAAGTTACGCGTTTAACCCTTAACTAGTCGCGTGCGTTCCCAAGACATGTGTACCCGTGTGGCGTACTTTGTACTCTGCAACAGCAATGTTCGACAGCAGGTCAAGTCATGGTAACGGTAGGCGTCGGTGGTGTGAATGCTGGTGTACCGAAGAATCTCCTCGAGCATTTATCTAAAATGTTTCGGGACACTGGTAGTTCGGGTTGGCGATTCAGCTGCTCATTTGTTCGCCTAGCTTGGAAATTTATTTGCACGGATTTCATCACCATACGAAGTGACATCGTCCCTGCACTGCGATGCAGAGTGTAATCACGCTGATCTAATCGGCGATCCGTGATCGACGTGCAGGTGCTTTTTGAAACTGATGGCTTCAATTTGTGCCTCATGAGCCCTATCCATATCCCCGCGACCGAAGTCATCACTCGCGTTGTTCTTGTTCAAGCGGCGAAGTGTCATATGTAGACTACATTGCAGAAATCGCGAAAAGGACTATGTTGGCCCAACAAGAATAAGCTTGGAAACATTGACAAAAGAGCCCAAAATAGCGTGCGAAAAGCACTATGCCTCATCCTTAGTTTCAGTGCACATGGACGAAGAAGATCACTGGTTTGATTGGCCAGAACAGAAGTTCTGGCACGAGGCGTAACAAGAAGGGAAAAAGAGTTCCTGAAAGCCTGGTTCGCAGCGAACGAGTCGCTCAACATCGACCCAGTATACCAGCTACTCCGACGGAAAGAACTTGGGGGAATTACAAGACGCCGCTTGAACAAGAATAACGCGAGCGATGACTTCAGCCACGGGGATATGGGTAGGGCTCATGGGGCGCAAATTGAAGCCATCAGTTTCAAAAGGCACCTGCACATCGACCACGGATCGCCGATTAAAGCAGCGTGATTGCACTCTGCATCGCATTGTAGTGACGATGCCACCTCGCATGGTGATGAAACCCATGCAAATAAATTTCCAAGCTAGGCGAACAAATGAGCAGGTGAAGCATTTCATTCGCAATGATCATCTGAAGTGTCTGAGCTTCGTATTGAATGAGTCCGACACCGTTTGTTGCGCAATCAAGAACCGTTAAAACAAATTGGCCGAAAACCTTTGCAAATTTGCTGACACTATAAGTTTTTTACTCACTTAGTCACCTCGCCTCACCTATTTTGCTGGCAACCGCGTTCATCGTCATCTTCACTGCTCACAGCTTCTGCATCGGAAGGCGTTGATTGGCTAAGATCAATATCCCTTGCAATAATATGATCGCCTACGTTAACAATTCTATCTTCGTCATCATCCTCGTTCCTTCCAACTTTGTCAGCCATTTTCCCTGACATTGTAACATTTCTCTAATGATGTCTTCATTTTATTCAATGTATCATCTCAAAAAAGTAATTTCCTGCAAAAGAACGAATAAAAGTGACTATACTTGTAATTATCTAACTGTCCGCGTGAATTAAACCTGGACTTCCCAAAGGATGTCACCTGTCGTCGACGCCAGATTGCTTTCTATCGTGAAACCGCTACATTACTGTCCGCGCCAGGAACTTGGCGGAGCATAACTAGCGGACCTCGTGGGTGCGTTCGCGTGATCAGCTTAGTGACGCACCAAACCGCGACAGGTGTACGCAATACACCAACGCGGCCCAACGTAAAATCACCTGGCCTTAGCGCCTTTTGTCTGTTTACCATTCCTCTCCTTGTACTGCTGTCGCAGTTGGTGATTGTTATATCTGAGGCTGGTGACGCACACGACTTTCAAAACAGACGTGAAATAAGCTGATAATTTATTTATCAAACGTTAACTCAGAAGTCAGTCTGCAATATAGGAAATGGGGTGTGTCAGACACACCGTATCACGCGATAGGCTGCGTCAAACGCATGGATCCCAACTAGGGCATGGGGATGAGTAAATTTCATGGCCGATGCCATGCGGCGATGATGAACGTGTTGGCACAAAATCGCCAGAGGAAAGAGTTGTAATCTCAGTTTTCACTGTTACTCCTCTTCGCATTGATACACGTGCTTCTTCCGAGTTCCATATTACCCATTCTCTCCTTCATTCACACTTGCTTCCCATGAAAACCTTTCTAGGTCACATCACTACGAGGATGAGTTTCTAGTTGCTTGGTATAAATTTGTTTGGGCCAACTGCTATCCTTGGAAGCGTATCCTGTGTACCTGCTTTCATGCGGGGTAGTCCCTCGAAGGGTTTCATCCGCATTTCCACGCCCTATCTGGTTTTGTGTGGCGGTGTGGCATAATAGCAAGTGAGCCGTCATCCTATCAGCTCATCTTCAGTTCCGTTATGACTGTTTGACCCTCCGAGACAAATAAGTTTTCCGTTTTTTTATACTATTTTAAGCCATTCAGCCCAATTTAACTTCCTACTCTTTATGATATGATACATTTTTTCTGAGACTGTATTTAAAAGCAAGTAGAAAGGTTTCTGTACAACTCTACCAGATTACGAAAAACCAAAAACATTTAGTTGTGAATCATCAGCAGCTGTGTCTGGTCCCTTAATCGTTTATCCTTGTTCGGTTAGGAATTTGTACTAGTTTCATTTATTCCGGGCATACAATGTCTTCCTTTGGCATTGTATGTGCATCGTTTCACAAAAGCACAGTTTTCCGCAATAATCGTCGATACGGGTTTTAAAACACTTCACAGAATCGGCCTCTATTAATCCTTCGGGTAGTGTATTCCATAAGTTTACGATTCTTCGTTCGATACAAAGCTGATGTGATACTTTGTTCATGTTGGGGACCCTGAGTTTGTAACGGTGTCCTCGGGTGTTACAGGGTTCTCGCAGGTGAAATATTGGCCGCAGTATGGGGAAGTGATTTAAGTGTAGTACTCGATGGGTAATAATAAGGTCAATTCTTACCCGGCGATAGGATAGTGTTTAGAGTCCGAGCCTTTCACAACGTTTTTCATACAGAAGCTTTTGTAGACTCGGTATCATTCTAGTTGCGATATGCTGTATTTTCCCCAGCTTTTCAGTTTCCCATTGGGTTATCGGATGGTAAGCTGGGGCACCATATTCAAGGATTGGCCTAATGAGCGAGGTGAATAGACGAGGGACGGTCTCTTCGAATCATGTGGAGAAACTGCGTCTTAATGCCCAGAGCATACGAAATCCCGCACGGTACAATTTCTCTGTATTTTCTAGTGATCTTAAATCATGTCGTGAGAGAACTCCTAAGTCTCTGACAGATGTGTTGGGATGGAGCAACTGGCCGTCCAAGGTGGATGATTGAGTGACTGGACGTCTGGTCATACTGATGAACTCCGACTTGCTTGCGTTAAGAGGGAGTTGCATTTCAGTGGACCACATTGACAGTCGCTCTAAGTCATGCTGGAGGCGAGCGCAATCGTCCTGGTTTTCAATGATCCTCCCGATTTTCAAATCATCTGCAAACAGGACACATGGTGACTGGAGCTGCTGCGGAAGATCGTTGATATGAATAAAAAAAATAATACTGGCCCAAGTACAGTTCCTTGAGGCACGCCACTGGTCGATGGGAACCATTCTGTCAGATAGTCATTGACCTGTACTCTAAACCTTCGTCCCACAATAAACTCTTGTATCCACTGAAGTAACGTGCCACCGATTCCGTATGTCCTCAGTTTGCGAAGGAGTACGGTGTGGTTCACTGTCAAATGCCTTACTAAAGTCGATGTACACCACGTCAACATCCTTCCGTTCGTTGAGAGCTTGTACTCACTGGTGGTTTGCGTACATCAAGTTGGTGATGCAGGATCGCCCTTTCGTAAAGCCGTGTTGCGCTGGCGTCAATACGTCCATCGATTCGAAGAACGATAGTGGACACTTTTTCACAACCGTCTCGAGCACTTTAGATAATACCGAAGTCAAACAGATCGGTCTATAGTTCTGTTTTACTCGGATCACCACCCTTGGGAAGCGGTCTCACTATCGAGCATTTCCAGTCGTTCGGGACAGATCCTTCAGAGAGCGATTTATTGAAAAGGTTTGTCACGGCTGGTGAGATGATAATCGATAGGGCCTTGAGTATTAGTGGATGAAGTCCGTCTGGTCCGGGAGGCTTTGCACCATCGAGGTTGACGAGTAGCCGGTACACTTCGACTGCATCACATTGTAGGCCGTTGAGCAAGACTGGCGCAACCTGTGCCGGTACTGAAACCGCCGCCGGTTTACTGGAAAATACAGTGAGGAAGTGCGTAGCCATGGCGTCTGCGCGCTCCGTGCTTGAAATGAGTGTCTTTCCGTCTAAGCTCTCTAAGACCGGTAGGTCGCCCCCAGGTTTCAGTTGACGTTTCAAGTAGGCAAATATTCTTTTGGGTGCAGTTGTGGCCGAGGATGCTAGCTCCTCTTCGAACTGCCGCCGTTTGTTGATCTTTGCGGCGTTACTTAAGTTACGCTGTTTCTTGTACACCGTGTAATCTTCATCACAACCCGAGCTGATGTATCCATCTCAAAGTTTGCGACGCCGTTGCGCTAACTGTCTATATTCCGTATCAAACCAATGCGGTTTGACAGGTC